ACTTGGGTTTTGAAAAGAGGAAAACAGACCCCTTTGGGTTTAGTTCAAAGTAGGTAGTTGAAGAGAGGTAACATTGAATGGTATGCTTAATGGAGACTTTCCTTGCGAGTCTGGACTTGTTAGGTCCCCCCCAGGCATCCCATTTGGGAAATGGGGGCCCACCTATCCAGCAGAGGCTGCCCACCAGGCCAATTCACCATCCTCCTGCAAACATACCCCATTGTTGGCCTCTCTTCAACCTCTTGTACTTTCCTTCCCCTCTCGATTAATTCCACCGATTAATTCCACCGTTCTCGTCTTCCCTTTTCTCACTTTGTTTTTTCCCTTCCCTCTTGTCATATTCTCTCCCTTTCTTCCTTGCTTTGATAGTGCCCGCCTTCAAACTTCATTTTACATTTTTTAAGCTGAGAAGATAAAATAATGGGCAGTTACAGACCTGTGCTTCTGAAAGAACCATAGATTTTTCAGTAGTGAGCCCTGTGCCTGTTGGTCTAGTGCTTTCTGACTACTGGTCTGACAGAGCGCCTTCCAGGTCACCCTGGCCCCCAGCTACCAGAGACAAGCTTTTGAGACACTAGGACTTACTTTGGCCCTCCTGGGCCCGAGGGCTCACCTTTTCAGATACTCTGGTTAACTCAGAACTGAAAGGGGAATGACCTCAGAGCAGTGCTTCTCCCTGCTAGAGACTGAGCACCCCAGGGCTTTATAATGTAGAGCTGATTCAGTGAAAAAAGGAGCCAGCAGCTACACCTTAGGCTCAGGTGTCCTCTGGCCTGCTGTTGCTCAGTCCTTTCAGCATTTCCAGGTACAGTCATGGGCACAGAAGATACATAGCCTGTCAGGGGGTATGGAGGTTCAGGGAGGGGAAGCAGATTGTACATGATTTAAGAAATGCCTGACAGAACCAAGATACCCATTTTTTATCTGAAGAAGCAATTCAGAAGTCGACTCCAAGTGTTGGAAATGTCTTTTGAAGAGCCACTCCCTCAGCTGTGTTCTCTCCCACCCCTCCAAACCCGACACAGCAGAACTAGGGCTTATATGGTAAACGTCAAAGCCCGGCTCCCTCATCCCCAGCACAGGGAGGTGACACACCAGTCTGTCAGGGCTAATCCAGTCACAGTCCAGGGCACAGGTTGCCTTTTACTTGACCTTTTGACTATCTTTTCTGCTTCATCTTTGCTGTTCTGGGATGATCTAGGCTCAGCCTGCCTGTTTCTTATCTCATGACTGACCTCTGCCCTTGGCCTACCTGGCTAACCCTTTGCCAGCAAAGGTAGCATCAGCTCCAGGACCCCACCCTGCCCTCCTGCGGGCGCTGACTCAGGGGCTCCTATACCTGTGTATCTCCCCCTGGCTCCACCAAGTGTGGAGTTTTCCAAGCTTTGTGATATGTTCTTCTCACTCACTCCAAGTTTCTTCAGGGAGTGAGTTTGTATCTTACACATCTTTGTATCACCAGCGCTCTGTGTAACATCTGACACAAAGTTCTAACTCGTTGATACTTCTTTAGTGAGTAAACCAAGTCTGTAGAGGAGCAAGACAAGTAGGTTATAGGTGGGATTCCATTCATGAGCTGTAGATAATAGATTCCCTTTAGCAGAGGCTTAAGATTGATAGTATAACTGTAAATACACTTTTTTAAAAAAAATTTTTTAAAGATTTATTTATTTATGCATACAGAACTGGGGAACAGGCCAGAGGTGTAGGAGCGGTGAGAGGCTTCACCAGAGACAGAGTGGGGAGCAGAACAGGCAGATGGATGAAGTGCACTGCTGAGAGGAGCAGCGGGCGGGTCAGGAGAGGTCTGCCACGCCATGTGGTCCCCTCCGGGGTAGGCAAGAATCGAACTCATGCAGAAGTGGCCTCAGCCTCTCAGTGCTGTGCTTTAACCCGCTGCGCCACCAGGGAGGGCCACACTTTTTAAAAAATATATTTATTTATTTATTCATTTAGAACTGGGGTACAGGCCAGACGTGCGGGGCATAAGAGGATTCACCAGAGACAGAATGGGGAGCAGAACAGGCAGATTGATTGAAATACACTGTTGAGGGGAGCAGTGAGCGGGACAGGAGGGGTCTGCCGCGCCAGAGATCGAACTCATGCTGCAATGAATGCGGTAGCTTCATAGTGCTGTGCTTTAACCTGTTGCGCCACCAGGGAGGGCCCAATACACACTTTTTAAAAGAATATTCTAACTGGTAGTGTTTAAAAAACCCAATTTAAGATTGGGTTTAAACACTTGGCTAATTAAAAGGAGCTGTTCAGGCCCTCCCTGGTGGCGCAGCAGGTTAAAGCACAGCACTGAGAATCTAGAGCCGCTTCCGCATGAGTTCGATTCCTGCCTGCCCCAGAGGTGACCACATGGCGCGGCAGATCTCTCCTGACCCTCCCGCTGCTCCCCTCAGCAGTGTACTTCCTCGATCTGCCTGTTCTGCTCCCCACTCTGTCTCTGGTGAAGCCTCTCACCGCCCCTGAGCCTCTGGCCTGTACCCCAGTTCTGTATGCACAAATAAATAAATCTTAAAAAAAAAAAAAGGAGCTGTTCATTTTCTTATTAACTTATGGGCTACTTAGTCTACCTCTCAGGGCATGTGTGTCATAGGATTCTCTGGAAATCATAAGAGGAATTTCTGAGGTAAAGTGTATCCTGCTCTGTCCCTAAGAGTGGGGTACTTGTTTTATACCCTCACCTGGTGATGTGAGCAGAAGTACTCTCTACGCACTAAAACTGTAGTAACTTATGAGAGAAGATAAGGAACAAGGTGGGAACTAGATCCCCCATTATCAGAAACAGTTCTAGAAAAACAAGAACTCAAATCCAGCGCCGATTTCCAGTCAGACCTGTGGAGCCGGTCACAGCCGCTGCACTGTTCCCGCCAGGAGTCACGTCAGTGGTGGGTACGTCGCGGAGCCTCAGCTAGACTTTGGGCAGATATGGATCTGCTTGTTCACAGAGCATAATCCAGCAGGTGACTTCTGCCTTGGCCCTGTGCAGTTGGAGAGGAGAGTAAATACATACCAAGTGAATGAGCATGATGAGCTTCCCTTGGATATAAAAAGCTCCTTTCAGGAGTTTGAGAACACAGAAGTGGTGTCTGCCCTGATGTCTGTCCTCTCCTCAGCCGTGTCTGTCCAGACTCACGTGGAACCATCTTTTGATTTGAACTGGAGGTTGTCTTTTCTGAGTTAGATGGTTATTTGGGAAAGTGCGTGTGAAGTTTTTTTCATTAGTATTTCTGGGTTCCAATTTTCTCATCCATGATATGAAGTCATTGTCATCGATAATCTCAGGAACTCTTCTCAGTTTTTAAAGATTTATGGTTCTGTAGTTCTACAGCCATTATTCTTACATTTGTGTGGCGATATTAGGCTATCAGACTCCAAGGCAAATGGCAGCCTTAACTGGGAAAATGTATATGCTGAGGACAGCTCTCCATTGTGATAAAGTAAATGATAACCCCTTTCCAGGCCAATAACTTGGGAGTTACAGGAAAGCATTGATGCTTTGGCCACAGCGCAACAGCTACAACCTGAGATGGCCTCAGTGCAAAGGATATTTATATATTGGGCTTCAGAATAATAATTCAAATTCTTGAGAGCCTCATTTTGTGATGTTATCACAAGACTATCCAGACAGTGTATTTTTTTAACCCCAGGAAGAGCAATTCAGAAGGATGGAACTTGCCACATGTGTCCAGCTGCATGCTTAATACTCTTAGGAAGAATTGTTCTATAAACACAGAAATAACAAAGTATGGATGGTAGAAAGATGTTCATTTCTTTGCTTACAGTTGTCAGGACCTTGTATATGTAAGAGTAGAAAATTAATAAACACTATCAAGTTTGCTGTTTTTGTAAGCCAAGCAGCAATATTTAATTTGTATTCTTCTGGAATTTTACTCTTTAATGGTTGGAAGTGACTGAAAATTGAGCCAAGTTTAACTGGAGTTCATGAAACATTGCGTAGTGTTACCTTAGCCAGTCTACATATTCAACAGCTTACACATTTAACAAATTAAATACTGGCCACAGGAAATATTCCTGGTTTTTAACACCCTGAAGGTGTTTCTGCACATCAAGTACCCTTTGCGTAAATTCATTCTTTCTGGATCATTCTAACATGTTGGTATATGGATGGCGGGTGAGGAGGCGGAGAAGCAAAAGGCTCTTGCCTCCCTCCAGTCCCGCCTACTCTCTTACTGCTCACAGGCTCTTCTAAGCTCACCCTGGAAAACGCAGGGTCCCTGGCACAGAGCAGCATTTTTGCTCCTCTTTGAAAGGTGCAAGGTGCTGCCTGGGAGGCCATGGGTGGCGGACACTGCCATGTCTCAGCCTGCATTCATTCTTGCTCTCGGAAGCCAGTGTTTGTCTTTATCCTCTCTGGATACTTGGCAGGGGAAAGATCATCCATCTTTCATCTTGGAGAAGTGGCACGCTCCGAGGGACTGTGCAAGGGCAGGCTGTGCTTTCCAGGGCCATGTCAAGGTCGAGAGTCACCTTCTCTTGGCATCTGTCACTGCCAACACAGAGCCCCTGCCCTTTTGCCTCTGGTTTCTTACTGTTCACATTTACAAATCACAAAGGGGAGCCCAAGAAAATCTCTTTATAGAAATGAACATACTGTTTCTGTCCCTCCCTTCCTGCTGGGGAGGAGGGATGGGAAAGAAAGGTTATGAGGCTCTGTCACTCACTTAAAAGGCAGGAGGAAGGCTCTCGTGTGAACTCTCCTTACATCTAAAACAGATTTTTTTTTTAAACACAGTCAACAATAATTGTACTTTTCAAGAGGTGCAATGCATTCAAACACAACACCACCCACAATTAACTAAAAAAAAAAGTGATGGGAAATTATGAACATTTAAAGGATGAGTTTCTGTGAATCACCCAGAGGAGCTAGCCACCCGTGGGTGCAGCTGGCATGCCAGGTCACGGCCTCTGTGCACACAACATTCAGGACATGCTCTCCGCAACCTGTATTCTCTCTTTTATTTGTACAGCTGGTTGAAAAGGTGGATGCCAAGATGACTGAGCGCTTTGACTGCCACCACTGCGAAGAGTCTCTCTTTGGCAAGAAGTACATCTTGAAGGAGGATAACCCTTACTGCGTGGCATGCTTTGAGGCCCTCTACGCCAACACATGCGAAGAATGCGGCAAGCCCATCGGCTGTGACTGCAAGGTATCCCTGGGCCTCCCCTCGGCATCACCCCATAACTCCTGGACCCCTGGGTGCTTCCCAGACACCCTCCACAAACAGCCTCCACCTGCAGGCTTTGTGCTAAAGTCCTAATTCTTATCACCTGTTTGAGCTCCAGTTGATGGACTTGGATCCTTCAAATAACCTTTCTGATCCATTTCCTTCTGGCCGATTTGCTCCCTGCCTGCTCCTGACTTTGGGGTGGTTGGTTAGTGCTTTTCCAGGAGGTTCGTGCTTAGCTTCCTAAGTTCCCCTCTAACATTCTAGCAATAGTGTCCTCCTCAGACCACCCACCCCGCCTCCTGATACTCTTGCTGTCTCTTCGCTCATGCTCACTCACAGGTGACACACTGCTCCGTCAGTGTTTGACGAGTGACTGCACACGTCTGAGCCTGAGCTGGTCCAGATAAATGGGTGCGTGCAAGCACTGGGCTCACCGAGCCTGAAGGGTTCTTTTGTTTTTATGGAGATCAGGATTTGCATTGCAAGAATGGCCACTTTCCCTGCACAGTGGCTTCAGCAGACACACCCAGTTATCTAGGCCACCAGCTGTGGCTGAGTGTTGGGATCTGGTCTTAATCAGTCCACCTGGACCACCAAAGGATACCCCAGGACCCACCATGTCTCGAAGATCGCCAGTAACTTCACCTGCGAGACATGCTTGAGAACCCTTAAGTGACTGTTCCCCTGAGGGCCACAGAACTGGTAGCAGTGGGGTCACTGTGGAGTTTCTGAGGAACTCCCAACTTAGTGGACTCCGGGGTGACTCTGGCATTTTATCATTTCTGCTCTCATCGTTTGTACTTTTTGGGGATTTCTGCCACTCCCCTCAATGGTTACAAGCATCAGCGTGTAACTTGACTGAGTTAGGCTGCTCTGTCTGCCTTTGGACAATTCTACCACACCCAAGCCATGTGGCTTGCTTCCTTCTATCATATCTTTCCAAAGGAAGGCAGTAAGCTACAGGCAGCCCTGCCAGCCTCTGTTGCTAGGTGTTCAGTGACCACTGAGGAATAATTTCAACCTTGTGTGGGAAGCAGCCTTTGCCCTGGGTTAGAGCAAAGGAGGTGCCCCAGGGGCCACTTGACCCCAGGCTGCAGTCACGAATCTTCCAGCTCCGGAAGAATGCTACGCCATGCCTGGAAGAAATCAAACTCACCAGTTGTCCTGTGTACAGGGCAGGATTGGGCATGTGCAAAAAGTAGCTGAACTTTCTAGTCTGACTTTCCTATCTCTAGCTTTGTCTGCTGCAAATCCCTGCTGTGTTTAAAGGCCTTTCATATGCCCTTCATTTATCCACACCAAGCTGCTCCTCTCCAGTCTTGTCTCTGTGTCCCCCTGGGCTGACCCTTAACCCCTCAGTGCCCACCTTCACGTCTACAAAGTGGAGATCAAACAAGGGTGACACCAGTGGCTGGTCAATGGCATCAACTACAACCTCCTTTTCTTCTGACTACTTCCCTATTTTTCCCCCAACACACTCCTCCACTCACCTGTCAAAAGCTCCATCTCTTACCAGTCTCATTACAGAAACGTAAAAATGTCCAGTTTGAGGAAGAACCCAGGGTGGAGGGGAAAAGTCTGTAAAAGGTTTCCCTGAAAACGACATTGTAGGGGAGAGGTTCATATATTATTCTGACGCAGAACAGGTCTGATTTAAAGGAAGCACTTTGGATAGTTGGGGCTAATCATGCTTACCTGGTGGCTAGAGGCAAAACAAAAGTCACTTATCATTTCTTCAATGTGATTTAATGGAAAGATCCTCAGACTCTCAAAACTAGTTATTCTTCAGCACATACTTTGTGAGCAAATAAGCAAGAATCTCCTAAATGGAGCCAAAATCAACAAAATCAACTGCTGTAAAGTTAGGAGTTAATTGTGCTGAACTTTTCAGCCAAGATCAATGGTTTACTATATGTGGAGTTACGCTGTTTGGTTTTCTACATTTTGGAAGAAAAAGAGATGTTGATTTGAAGTTAGGCCTTGCTGTTTGGGGCTTTTCAATGGTTGGAATGGTTTTCTTGACTTTCAGAAATAATTATGTAGTTGACTTTGGGGAGGAAACAATGATAGAAAAAATGTTCCTGTTATTTCAGGAGGGGAAGCCAAAGTGCTGGCAGGCGGGCCCAGGCCGGAGCCACTGGCTTGTCAGATCTGGTGCCATTCTCCTCTCCTAAAATAGCTCAGGCACCAGAAGCCTCACTTCACTCTCCTGCTGAAGGACATGTGTGCATAATTTTCAAATATTCCTATGGCCATTGAAATTACACTAATTTTGTGGGTATATATGAGTTTTTAAATGAGATCAATGAAACTTCAGGCTGTTGCCATGGTTAGCTTTCATGTTTAAAAGTCATTTCTAGGCAGTGACTCAATTATATCCTTTATTTCTATTATCAGAGAAAATGCTGTGATCTCCAAGAGCAAAATCCTTCATTTTTATCTAATAGACTAGTTGAGAACAAGTAATAATAAATAAAATTTCATGATTTTCTGGCATGATATTGTTCCTGAATTTTTTCTTGATAAGAGCAAATTTTTTTTTTTTTTTTTTTTTTTTTGCCAGATTACAGATGGTTTTTGGATAGGTCTACCAAACTCTTGGGTTTCAAGATTTTAAGACACCAAAGAAAAGATAGATTGGTCATAATTCTAAAGGGACCATGCATTTAACAAATCAGTGACTTTAACAAACTGGCCTAATGCCTAGCTCAGACTAGAATTTTCCATGTTTCTGCCAGTAAGTACCAGGCTCCCAAGCCCACCCATGTGCCCTGGAAAGACAAAAACATGGCCATGAACAAAAAACCAGACCTAAAACTGGCATTGAGCTTCCAACCAGTCATAAAAGCTGCCACGCATGGAGGGTTCCTTGACCAGGCACTGCAAAAATGTCTTCATTACTTGAGCTCAATTCCCAATAACTCCCGTTGGAGAAGAACTTTCTGTGTTCTGTTTTATGGAACAACCACAGAGGCCTAAAGAGGGTAAAGATCTTGCCCAGAGTTAGGTCATGCTCAAAGTAGGGACCCCTGTCTCACAGGACTGTGGGATTCAAAAGTTCCCGGAGAGACAACACCAGGAGCACTGAATTCAGTGCTGTGGCACCTGCCATCTCTTCTTCCCGACCATTACTTTTGAGGAGGTGAAGAATACACGGTTGCTGTTGTTGCCTGGAGTTACTTGCAGCTGGCTGGGGGGTCGAGGGGACCCTTGGGTCACTTCCTCTACCCCATGGCTGAGCTGATGTCTCAACAACAGAGCCAGGCAACAGACACTTCCCATATTAGGACTGGTTCTGAAATGGAAAAATATAAAATCAGAAAGGAAGTGTTTGGGCCTTATCTTACATTGTTTATCAACATTTTTGCTGAAATTTATGACATTTCTGTGAGCACAAGATTAGCCTTGGTATTTTCTCTGGGACATGTAAAAGATATTTTTCTTTTTTTTTTTTTTTCCCTCTGCACTCTTTCCCTGGAGGACTTTGAAGCCAGGGTCTTTTTAGGACAATTTAAAGTTCTGGAAAATTGATGTGTCCATCTCTCCTCTTAGTCATGTACATCCAACATCTAGGTGACATCTTTGGAGGTCCAGGTGATGCACTCTGTATAGAACAGAGCTAAGCTAGATGAGACTAACTCCGTATGAAGAACCACAGCTACGGAACTGTTTCTAACTGTGAATGCAAGAGATAAAAAAGGCGATTTAGCACCAACTCTTTACATGTAAATATTCAGAGCATGATTTGACAGTCGACTTCAAGTGCACAGACTAATCAATTATAATAATCCAATGTCTTGGCCTTTTCTGTGCAATTTTCCAATCTTCCACTAATCTCCAGAGTATCGGCCTAAAATCCTGCCTCACACTGAGACTCAGAGAATGTCCTGTTGGCCCAAGGCCCATGGGTGCCCTGAGAAAGTAAAGCTAGCAGTATTCAGTTACCTTCCTCTTGCCATAAAGACTTTTCTCACTTCCTACGTATTGTGATTTTCTTAAGATGTGAGCCCAGGAGGAAGCTGTGACATGAATTCATTAACTTAACCCAGTTTTCCAAAGACAGCCCCAGTGGAAAGCCCTAGAGAGTACACTTGGTCAGATAGGACTGCACATACGACTTCAAAGAGAAGTGTCACACAAGCTCTTTACTGTGTTCCTGGGGTGTGGGAGCCTGTGTCTGTCCTGCTGCCGGTAGCACCTACGGTTGGGGGTGGGGATCCTTCCAGAGCGGGGGACATTCCTGCTGAGGGGGGTCTGCCTACTGCAGAGAAGGGGAAGGGCCTTCCCTGGCAAGGGGCAGCATAAGAAGGGCATAGAGGGCACTGGCGTGGAGCATGGGGCTGGTAAGCCCGTTGGGAGCAACTTGTAAGGAAGCTGCTATGCCTGATAAAGAAAAGGAGCAGAATATGCGGACCTGAGTTTTGTTGGATCTCCCAAGGCTGAAAGGCAATGAGGATGTTCCAGAAAATGTAGCTCACAGCTTTTTCACATGGTTAAGATTCATACCTTATCTCAAGGGGCTATTGTATGACTCAAATTAAGTAAGAAAAGATTAAGGAAAAAATGTAGACTGAAAAGGGCTACGGACGTGAAAAACACTATTCATAAGTGGACTGATAAGAAGTGTGAACATGGGAGTTTTAAGGCAAGGGAAGTTCTAACAGACATGAGGAAACGTTTCAGCAAAGGACATTTCGAGACAACTGAATGATGGGACCACTATGAGCTGAATGATAGCTAATATTAAGATTAATTGAGCCATTGTAACTTACCAAGTTATATATGCTTAGTAAAAATGCTTTCTTATATGTCAAAATGTCTTACATGCAATATTCCATTCACCCAGTTTGATAGCAAAATGGTAGCTGCTATTCTTTCTACTTGACAAGTGAGAAGCTGGAGGCAAGAGAGGACTTGTCCTATCAAATAGCTGGTGTGTGGCCAGATTTGAATCGAGAGCCCTTCATTGTAATCAATGGACTTGATTGGAATGTTCCTAGCATGCCAGGAACATTGCTGATCATAACACAGCAGGTCAGAGTGAGCCATCCAAGGCCCCCCACTGTCTGCATGCACAGCTGCTTCCCCAAGAAGGTCAATGCTGTCTCCAGCTATGTGGGGTGGGTCAATTATATTCCCACTGAGGACCCACCACCAACAGCAATGATGTAAATTTTAAGGATTATTTTTATTTATTGCACACCATGACATTTAAGAACATGAACATAATGACTCTGTAGGGAAACCATTTCCTGTCAGGGGTTTTAAGAATTAACAGATATCCTTGAGTAAACAAATCAAGAATTGTTGTGTAGAAAGTGTGTATACATGTGTGTGCATGCATTTGCCAGAGAGGGGAGAAGAACTTAGAGGGAAAAGTTGTCTGAGTGACTCACAAGGGCCCCAGGAAAGGAAAGCCTAAATAGCTCAACCCTGGTCATCCTGTGAGAAGAACTCTGACCCAGTTCTCCAGGGTGGAGGATGGGATGGGAAGCATTTCTTAGCATCTCCTCTGAAGGCAAAAGCCCAGGTGAGGAGTGCACCTCAGGGGATGTCCTATCTGGCCACTGAGAGGAATATGCTCTCTCTGAAAGGGGCAGGGCCTTAGTGACCCGGAGGGAGCAAGGGCCAGGGAGCAGCCTCACAAGAGCGGCCTGGGGAAAGCCCACAAGCCCAAACTGATGCTTACAGTCTTGCAAGGGCTTATCAACAGTCCCCAAATTTAAAGGGGCCCTTTCTAGTGTCAGTGTCTATCAACAGATTGGCCTTAAACTGATTAAAAACCTTAACGGAAGAAATGGTGTTAAACCCAGAAATGTGAACTGTAGTAAAAGCGGATCTCTGAATAGCTTTAGATCCACATGAACACTTTAAAATTAGCTTCTCCATGACTGTTCAGTCACATTAACCACTCGCTCACTCTTCCCTCTACTCTCGGGACACGCTCAGCAGGGTGGAGCATGTGGGGACATTCTTTTGTCACCATGGAGGTTCCTTCATCCTTCGTGTGCTGGAAGGTCAGCCCCAAAAGGCAAATTTCCTTAAACTCTTGTTTTCTTGTCAGCCTTTAGCCCCCATCTGTGGAGTGCCAGCTCCCTGGACAGGGCACTGCTGGAGTGTCTTCCAGGAAGCTGCCAGCCCCCCTCTCCCCATTCCCCAGCCTCCAGGTTCTCATTTCACCCAGTCAGTGAGTGATTCACAGAATGTGGGAAACGTTTTGCAACTTTTCCACAATAGCAATCTTTTCTGAGGCAACCAGTCAGTACCAAGGGAACCTGACTAACTCCTCCAAAAAAATGTTTTGACCTACGACATGACAATCAACTCATTTTTTAACTGTGGTAAAATACACATGACAAAATTTACCATCATGGCCCTTTTTTAAAGTATGGCTCTGCTATGAAACCCCTCTCTAGAACTCTTCCCATCTTGCAAAACTGAAACTTGGTACCCATTGAACAGCAGCCCCCCATTTCTCTCTCAGTCCCTGAAAACCACACTTCTACTTTATCTTTATGGATTTGACTACAGCAGAGACCTGTCTATATGTTATCACATGGTATTTGTCTTTTTTGCGACTGGCTTGTTTCACTTGGCAAGATGGCCTCAAGGTTTGTTCATGTTGAAGCAAGTGTCAGAATTTGCTTCCTTCATGAGACTGAATATACCCCATTGTGTGTGCAGCCCACATTTTTATCCCTTCATCTCTTCATGGACACTTGGGTTGCTATTGTGAATAAATGCTGCTCTGAACAAAGAGCTGTCTACAAATACCTGCTGTTAATTTGGGGTATACACTCAAAAGTGCTATTGCTGGGTCACATGATAATTGATGGCCAATTTTGAATGCGGTGTAATACGTTTTCTATACAATTCTTAATACGTTTAGTCTGCAGTCAGCATTAAGACAGTGATAGCATGATCAAGAACCTCAAGTCTTTCATGTTAGGCCAATTGCTGTTCCTATTGGATAGGGCTGTAAGTGCTCCCTTTGGTTGTATTGGAAATCTAAACAAAGGTATTGCTAAATTGCATTCATATAATAGCATTTCTGAATTTTTTTCACTGGGTATACATAGAGCTCATAAATGGTTCAACTTATGGAAGCAAAGCATAACAGACATTACTGGGATTTTACCTGGTGTAGTTGACAGCTTTCAAATCAGAAGGACTTGAACTTGAACCCTGGTTTAGCTACTAGACAGCTGTGTGATTAGGAGCAACTTACTGACCTCCTGGGCATCAGTGATAATATTTATGTCACAGGGCTGCACAGTGCCTATCACTCAGAGTGGGTAACAATTATCAACACTGGCATTCCAGGATGAGAAAAATAATAATTTATGTTTGAAGAAGGGATGTTTGCAGAGTATAGTTGTCAGAGTATAGTGATTTGTATATATAGTCATTAACTCAAAGCAGCTTATACTTTATTTCATTGCCAAATTAACCAATAAAGCCTAATAACCAGTAAAGTTCAGGTGATTTTTCTCTCCAAATTCCTTCAAAGACTTTAGGCTAGAAATGTTAAGAGACACTGGTCTGCCCAGCACACATGCCCTGAAGGTTGGGCTCACCAAGTGGAAAGGGGAAATCAGTAGATGAACACAGTCTCACAGAAACAAGTCCATGCAGTCCTAACTGAAAGGTTCTGCACTTTGTTCCACATTCTCTCGTTGGCTGTAATTCTGCTCCCAGGTGTTTGAGGGTGCAACCGCTAACAGGAGCCGTGTTTGAGGGAGCAGGGCCAGGCACACCCTTCCCTGAAAGCCAGCTGTTTGCAAAGCCTTCACATTTATATTTCTAAAAAAATTCCCTCAACTAAAACAATGTATAAAAAGATCACAAAATCAAACAACTTTGGTTTGCTTCAAGGTTCTGGGAAAACACTCCGGTACTTCATCAAAAGAGAACTGTTTGTTCTCATTTGGATTCTGAGTTGACTTGTGTTTCAGGACTTTCTAATCAAATCCAAGATGAGCTTTCCCTTCCCACACTCGGCCTTGCTCCAGCTGCGACTGGTGTCGGGAACAGATTTCTTGGGAAGGATGTTCCCGAGGGCGTCTGCAGGAGCAGCTGGGTTCAGAATGCCACAGGTCTGGAATACCGCCCAGGAAACCAAACAGTGGCCCCGATTCTATGTCTGCCTCATTAATAAACGAACAATGATTTCAGATTACAGTTGGGAATACAAAAAGCAACTGTAGAGTAATCCCGTTTACAATAAAGCTACATATAAATTGGTTGTGCTGACATTGTATTGGCACTTTCAAAAAGCCATATGCCACTTGAAAAATACGATTTGTAGATTTCTTCTTCTGCCTCAGGCAGGATCCCAGTAGTGGACAGTCAACAGTTTCCTCTCTTGTGTGCACGGTTCCTTTCTACCCTTCACTAAAATGTGTGGCCTGTCTCTGCCACACACACGGACCTTGGTGTTTCCTGCCTGTATGTCCACAAAGTCCCTGCTTCTCTGTCGTCTCCCACGCCAACTTCCTGGTCCGTGTGTCACGACCTCAGCCCCGCACTCTCTGCTGAGTAATCCCGCCTCTGTCCACGCCCCAAAGATAAATTTCAGCTCCATATCCTTGCAGACGCAAAAGCCTCTCCTGTTCTTCAGCCTGGTTGACCCCACTAGCCCCTCACACAGCTCCAGCAAATACCCCTCTCCCGCCTCATCCCTGCTCACGCTCTCTGCCCACTTTCCTTTCTGCCCTTCTGCTCTCTGCCACCTATGGTTTTTGACAGCAGATTGTCACCTCCCGAGGGCCACATGTGACCTGCTTTGTATCAGGTTAAACCCCAGCCTTGTCCTAACGGACACTCTGAGTGTCCCCAGTTAGGGCTTCTCTTCCCATCAGCAACCCCAGAGATCCTGCCTTCACCACTGGTTCTACTGAGCTCCCTTTGCTCAGAAGCATCCGTGAATATTCATGCTTTTTGTTTCTTTCTCATGAGCACAATACCTAAGGGAAATCTGCTTGTTTTTCAAAACTCCTCTCTCTCCTTTGCCCCCTCTCCCTGCCCTCCTACACCCCCTCCCCATCTCCCACACAGACACAACCTCTCTAGGTGGTGGTTCCACGTGCAACAAGAAAGCAGCTTCGTTATTCCAGTGCACTCACAGGCCTCCCCCGCCCCGGCTCCCTTTGCCCCCTGCACCACATCCTGGGGGTCAGGCAGGGCAGCCCGGAGCCCCGTGCCCAGCCTCACTGTCTCTCTGGTCTGGGTCTGCAGGACTTGTCCTACAAGGACCGGCACTGGCACGAGGCCTGCTTCCACTGCTCGCGGTGCAAGAGCTCGCTGGTGGACAAACCCTTTGCCGCCAAGGAGGAACAGCTGCTCTGCACAGACTGCTACTCCCACGAGTACTCTTCCAAGTGCCAGGAATGCAAGAAGACCATCATGCCAGGTCAGCCCTCTCCCTGCCCTCCAGAGGCCACACGAAGCCTCTCTCGCCTGCCTTCTGCTCGATGAATCTCACTCCTTCATGATTTCAGCAAGAGGACACTGCCCTTCCCAAGGGTTAGGCAATGCCATTGAGTCTTAAGAAAGAGTAAAGAAAATAATTTTGTGGAATTTGTAAACACAAAACTTACAAAATAAATGCTGTGGGCTCCTATAGAAATAGAATGGGGAAAGGCCACTGCAGAAGCACGCAAGGTGTGGACCCCAAGAAACGGCCCCTGTCTGGGTGGTGCTATTGCTCCAGACAGAGCCCGTCAGCCCCGCCCCGCGTGCCAGGCCTCGCCAGGTTTAACAAAACATGACTCCCAGCTCAGTCAGCTTTCTGAGCTTCTGCCCCGTCTGAGACCTCCCTGATTTGGCATCTCTACAAGAGAGCCACATTGAGCCAGGAGAGAATTCTACCCACTGTACATCTTAGTAGGCGTGGCCCTTGCAGAAAGCAGGATAGGATGAAGCAGTGGGAGACCTGGGAGCCAGTCCAGCAGGGTAGCACTTAGGATACACACACACACACTGCCGTGGTTTAACGGAAGATTAGGGACGGATAAGTTCAAACGAAGGCACGTGGGTTCTGGGGCGATCATCAGCCCGGCAGTGATGGTGACTATCAAATAAGGCTCATGTTGGTAGGCGGGGCAGGGCCAGGCCAGGACGCCTCCATGCTGTCAAGGAGCTCTTCCAGAGCTGCAGATGAGAGAGACAAAGGGCCTGAAGGTGGTGATAGCGGGAATGAACTAGAACCCCACACCGAGCCGGGCTGACCACAGGGAGTCACATGTGCTGAACAACAGGCCCAGAGCAAGAGGGACACAAAAGCACAAATTGTTGGGCACAAATTGAATCCTAACTAGGTTTGCATGACAAGTGCCCAAAGAAGGTTCCATCATGACTCATACCAGCGCTCTTCCAGTCCTCCCTCCCCGCTCTTCACACCGCCCACTTCATGTAGCTGCCTGCGTCTCTCCTCCCGCACACACTCTCCAGAATTCCCCTGCCGGGCTGTACATCATCCTCCGTATCCACCTCTGCCTTGTTAGTTTGAGAGCTCTTCCTCAGTGGTGTGCTGCCCTTCCATGTGTGCATCCTGTGGGCCTCCTTGCCCTGGGGTCCCTCCTCCCTTACTCCATGGGCACATCAGGACCATGGGACAGGGACCCAAGGAGGAGGCCCCACGGGATACGGTCAGGTCACAACTCTGATGGAGCCACGCATGGGACTCAGCATCTGCCCAGGTGGCTGCACACCCTGGGCCAGAAGCCCTGGGACAGGATACTCACTGTCCTGTTCTGTGTCCTGGGAGAGTGCCCCGGCTCAGGCCCTTGCAGCGAGGATGCAGATAAATCCCAGAAAAAGGAACAGCATGGGCGAGTGGAAGCTTAAATGACCTTAAAGACCACCTGTCTGATCTCACCAGTAAAGAAATGTAAAGGCAGCCCTGTTCCTAATCAGGCAAGATTGGGTTCCATCCGGGGTTTCCCTGAGGCCGTGTGGTCTTGCCTTCTCCCTGAGGAAGGAGAGGCGGGCCTGTTGGGAGGAATGAAAGACACACAAGATGAACGTTTGTGGGATGCAAAGCAGCGGTATCTGGACCATTTCTGATTAAGTCACTCAGCGGTTTTAGTGCTTTGGACTTAAAGCCAGAAAATCCAGGGTCCTCACACTGCTTCTCCGAGGTTCCGTGACCTCAGCCACTAACAACTGTCGCAGCCTTGGCGTCTTCTTCCCAACCCCGTCACGCTACTACATTTCCCCGACAACCCCCCCCCCCCAAACACACACGCACACCCGTGATCATTATTCCACTGTCATCTCTTGTTAGAAGTTTTAGGTGGAAATTTGTAGAAACCCAGCTGATACCTGCTGTGATGGAGGCACATGCCCAGAACAGGGGAGCCAGGGTGGGGACCCTCAATATCATCACCTTTGAGCTGTCTTGGAGAATGCAGCATTTTGTTGGTTGAAATAAGTAGAAGCAGGGTGACAGGAAAAAGCCTGTTTTGCAAAAAAGAAAAAACAAAGCCAGCCCTAAATCATAGTTCCTCCTCACTTAGGATTTCTGAGAGTGCTACGACCAGATCAAGTTGAACAGCAATACAGCATCCGCACAGCTTTTGTGCTAAAATTCAGTGCATATGAGACAAAAGGCAGGTACTAAATGAAAATCATGTCCTCTGGCTCCACCTTCTACAAAAGTCCATTTCTCGAGGAAGTCAAGATATTAGAGCCAGCACAAACCACAGTCCTAAGGCTTTCCTGTTTTCTACCAAATGCTGGACCTGTTAGCAGAGGTGTCTCGCAGATGCACCACAGCCTCTGAGCAGGCTCACACTGTCACTCATCCTTCACCAAGTTTCTGTTCCTTGCTTGCTTATAGAATGGGAAAAAGACCCACCTTTAAACGGTGCTTCCATCTGCTGGAGAAGTGTGGACTCTGCAGCTCTGTTACAAGGAGTTCTGCTGCCGCCTGCTGGCAGTGTGCAGTACTTACACAGGCCTCTGATGCTGGGCGGGAAATGCCGGGTGGATTCTTCACCGGCCACAGACAGGTCTCTGGGCACTGTTACTTTAGAACACGCCAAGTTGCCTTGTATAGGGTCTGCAGTGAGAATCATAATCTCCCCGTTTTCACTAATAAAATCTGTTGGTTCCTGGGCTGCTTTATCAAAGGGAAGGTCAGAGATGAAAGAACAAGTAACAAGTTAAGGGTATATAAGGGAAAAAAAACCTACTGGGATTAAAAAAAAAAATCCACTTGAAAACTTACATAAAAAAATGCCACCATTATTACCTGCATCAGTTGTTTGAGGTAGTTTTCCTTGTTCAGGATTCTTCACCCATACTTTGAGTATGTTTTACAATTCACTCTTGATCAACGAGAAAAGAACATGTTAACAAGTTGTAAGAAACAGAGAAAACCTTTACATTACCGCACTGTGAGCTCCCAGGGTTCACCCTCCCTCCTACAAGAAAACCCACAGGCAAGTGGCCCCGCAGTTCAGTCTGTGTGTTCAGGAGTCAACACTACACTCTTCGGGAGGCTTCTCTGCAGGTTTGGTCTTGGAAGTACAAGAAACTGAGAAGTGACCCCAAGATGACAGCTCACGAAATAGTCATGTAGTGACTTTTAACACCCCCTCCACCAAGGACGACACCTCCAGGCCAGGGCGACACCTCTCAGCCGCTGGCCCCGAGCAGCCCAAATGTCTGATATACTTTGCTTTTTCTTCATCCTTTATACAACTTTCCCCCACCCCCAGTTTTTCTTCTAGTTCATCCAAAGAGTGCTTAGATATCTATCTGGAACCCTTTCAACCTGTAAATATGTATAATTTTTTGGTAAAGTACGAGAAAACATCAATCAACAAATATTGAGCATTTGTTGTGAATCAAATTTGAGGGTGTGAGGGAAGTTTGGGGTGGCCAGTAGTAATGAATCACAAATATTTCCATTCTTAAGGATATTTTTAATCATCCATCAAAGGAAAAACCAATGAAGATCAATTTTTATTCTTTCAAAAGCATTGTTGGGGAAATAAAATCTAGAATCAGAGATCAAATAATTGAAGAGTAATTTAAAGGTCATGATATCCTGTGCCCCGTAGCCTCTGTTTAAGCAGCTTTTATTGCTGTTTCATTTTCCCTTATATTGAGTTAAAAAAAGAATCCAAATAACTCTGAGAAAGTAATAATAAACTTTTATTCCTTTTTTTCTTTCCTTCCTTGCTTATTTTTCCCCACCACCATCCCTCATAAATTTCCATGTCCCTCTCCCCTCCTCCTTAACCTAGAACCCTTAAGGTATTTATTGCCATTCACTGACTTTTCTAAGTATTTTACATACTTGTTTTTTTTTTTTAAAGACTTATTTATTCACACAGAACTGGGGTACAGGCCAGAGGTACAGGGGTGGTGAGAGGATTCACCAGAGTAAGAGTGGGGAGTAGAACAGGCTGACTGATGAAATACATTGCTGAGGGGAGCAGCGGCGGGTCAGGAGAGGTCTGCCACGCCATGTGGTTCTCTTCCAGGGCGGGGATCAAACTCATGCAGAAGTGGCTTTAGCTTCTTAGTGCTGTGCTTTAACCCCCTGCGCCACCAGGAAGGCCCCAGAACTTGTTTTTATCCTTTGGACTTGCTTTACTACGTACACATAACTTTCTCAAACTCCCTCCATGGTGTTGAAAATAACCTTATCCTATCCTTTTTTACAGTTACATAGTACTCCAGTGTGACTATATCTTATCTTCTCCATGCAGATTGCTGGGACTCCCAGACAGTTTGATAACAGCCTGTTTTTTTTTTTTTTTTTTTTTTTTTTTAACTTGCATTACAGGTACCCGAAAAATGGAGTACAAGGGCAGCAGCTGGCATGAGACTTGCTTCATGTGCCATCGGTGTCAGCAGCCAATTGGAACCAAGAGCTTCATCCCTAAAGACAATCAGAATTTCTGTGTGCCCTGCTATGAGAATCAGTATGCTCTGCAGTGTGTTCAGTGCAACAAGGTATCTTGCTCTTCCCAGACTTTGCCCTTCCCAGTCAATTTGCTTCCATAATCCCTGTCAGTTCTCCTTTCCAAAAGGAGTTATTCCTGTAATACCAGAGTAGGGTCACAGTTGTGCCTGTCTCACCTTGCATCCCATAATTCTTTCTTCTGTAGATCGTATCCTTCAGACCTCTGTTCCAATGTTCTTTTCAAAGACATGAGGTGTAATCTAGGGTAAACTGACCTATCCCTTCTTTGTCCTAGAACATTTCCAAATGTTTTGCTCATATTTGTAACTTGATATTAAAGGAAAGGGGAACTTACTATTCCAAAGTTCTTTGCTATACTGTTCTCCTTGAATAACAAGAAAACCACTGCTAAACTGGAGAGAAGGAAGGAGAGGAGGGAGGGGGAGAGGAGGAAGGTGAGGGAGGGGAGGAGGGAGAGGTAGGGATTGAAGGCTAGTTCTATTACATCTGGCTTCAAAGCTTCTTCACACAAATATCTATGGCCACAAGACAGAATGATGAGAAGCAGGCGTGGGGCCTATTCCCCCTAAACCTCCCAGGATGCCTGGATCCCCTCACTAGGCCACAGGCAGCTGCCAACCGCGCTTTCTCCCAGCCCAAGTAAGTGAATAGCCTGAGGTAAGTGGTATTTGAGAGGCTACCATCTACCAGGCTTCATCATGAGGACCCCCAGAGTCTCTACTTTAGTCTCACCACTCCTGGAACAGATAAGGTCCAGAGCACAGGCCGGAAAGGAGCAAGATTAGCATCCAAGTTCGGGACTCTCTGAGATTCCATCTTAACCTCCTGGCACTGCCCACAGATGGAAGCGATGCAGCCTGACCCCCAACACCTGCGCCTCACATTCCCCAGGCCCAGGGCCTCAAGCAGGAAAGCCAGGGTCTGCAATCTGTGAATGGGGATCCATGAGGCCAGCATGAGACCAGGCTCTTGGTGACGTCTACACAAATTGGGTCTTCTCTGGATGAGGCTCTTGTGTCCTGTGGCCCTAGCCAAGACTGGGAAAGTATCCAGAGAACGTCCTCCGGAAGCTGACCCTCTTCCTCTTGTGTCCCCAGCCCATTACCACTGGGGGAGTCACCTACCGGGACCAGCCCTGGCACAAGGAGTGTTTCGTGTGCACAGCCTGCAAGCAGCCCCTGTCCGGGCAGCGCTTCACTTCCCGAGATGAGTTTGCCTATTGCCTGAGCTGCTTCTGCGACTTGTACGCCAAGAAGTGTGCAGGGTGCACCCACCCCATCAGCGGTGAGTGTCTCCAGGACCCACCCTTCCCATGCACCCCCACCTCTCCTTCACACAGCCAGGGACGGTTGGGCCTTTGAGCAAGGGCATGTTGGCTACCTGGATGCTGAAGAAAAAGAGCACGGCATTTAAACTTATTCCAGTTGTTTATATACCAGTTTTCCTTGGCAGCCATTTCGAGAAGGGAAATGCAGTCTTTTGCATGAGCATATTAATTTTAATGCTGTTTCACAGTAATTATCATGGAAAGTCAACGTTTATAAAAATCAAGCTTTATAGTGACATAATCTACATACAAGGACTTTAAAAAAAAAAAGTTTATTTATGCATACAGAACTGGGGTATAGGCCAGAGGTGCAGGGACGGTGAGAGGATTCACCAGAGACAGAGTAGGGAGCAGAGCAGGCTGACTGACGAAGTACACTGCTGAGGGGAGCAGTGGGTGGGTCAGGAGAGGTCTCCGGCGCCATGTGGGTCACCTCCAGGGCAGGGATTGAACTCATGCTGAAGTAGCTTTTGCTTCTTAGTGTTGTGCTTTAACCCCCTGCGCCTTCAAGGAGGGCACCATAAAAGCACTTTTAAATGTAATGTATGAGATGTGTGTCAATGGTAGTTATTACTATTCTATCACTGAAAAAAAAAATACAACATTAAAAAAACTAAATAGAAACTTCCCTCCAAACAGGAGAGTTAATTCTCTGAAATGCAAAGACAACCATTCAGGAATTTGCAGAGCAATTTTTGGAATTATTATCTGGAACCCCAAACAGTTGTGCATGGTTGCTGGTATAGATTAAATTTTGAATAGCCTCCTACTTAGTACTTTCTCTTTAGCAAACTTTAAATAAATGAGTTTTGTAAATAAATTTGAATTTGACATTTTCCATTTTTTTATGTTGGTGCCCCTTAATTCACAGTTTCCATTATTAAGTCCATACTATCAATTTGCCTACTCAATAACATTTACTTGTAATTCCAAAATTAGTACTCATGGTACTTTTGTGGTCATTGGCTAGCATGCAGAGAGGCGACAGGTGAGTCACCTGACTCATACATTCTCATCCCAGATGAACAAGGAGATGCTCTGTCTTCTTTTCTCAACTCTTACATTGTAAACAACGGTTGTTTTCACAAATCTCTCTAGGTAGGCCATGTTTTTTGCATTTTCAGCTTTTGTCAGCAATTTCGCTGTTCAGAATGACCCCCAGACATAGTGTGAAGTGTTATCTACATTCCTAAGTACAGGAAGTAATGATGTGCCTTACAGAGGATATACATCTGAGAGGGAAGCTTCCTCCAAGCACAAGTTATGGGACGATTGGCCATGAGCTCAGTTACTGAGACAGCAATGCCTACTGCATTAAATAAGGTCTCTTTAAGCAGGAACATACATACAGCATCTTATATATATTAGTAGATGAAAATGTGGTGACCAGAAGCTCACTGGAACCTAACCCTGTATTTAGGAGCAATGGTTCAGAATTTGCTACATTCAGTCTTTGTAAAACATAACTCTCTCAAATAATGAGAATAGAGTACATATACACCTTTCACTTAGGAGGATTCATCCCCCATGGACTATCTTTGGCTCTCATTTCCATCACTTGCCCTGCCCTACTTGTTTCTCAAGGAAATACCTGAGCTTCTCAAAGGAGGCTTTCAGCCTGGAACAGCTGCCAGGAACTCTGATCACTAGCCTCTCAGCCTCTCCCTACCAATGTTCCTCACCACCACAGATCTGCAAGGTAGTAGGATATACTAGGAGTGAGAGGAAGAAGAAATATAACATGGTAGAAATGCTGGGGCATCCTAGCACCTTCTCGGCTTTTCTACTAACTCCAAATTTGGAGAGGGAAAAACAGCTGTCTTCCAGTACCTCTGCTGTCCCTGCCCCTAAATCAAGTTTACAGTAAGAGATGCCTAAACAGCTGGGTTTTAAACTTGGTTGCATAGGAAATACCTAGGGGGCTTTAAAAATGTTTACCCTCTGGGTCCTGGTACTAACTAGCTGCAGGGAACCAGTGTTAAGAACTCTCCCTAAGTGAAAGTGTCCGTCTAATCAGTTAGGTTACATAGAAAATTGACTTCTCAGTGAATTCCAGACAACTCAGGCTAGTCTGAGACCTCATATTATTGTAAATGATTATTTAGTTTTTAATACAGTAGTTGAACCACTATTTATGGAAAGAACCCTTTGTAAGTAGGATTTGGGTCCAAATTTTACTATTCCAACTCTAAGATAAGACCCTGTATGATTCTGTGCTATTTCAGGAGCTCAGGTGCAGTATAAACCAAATATATTGTAACAAGTGACCAATACACCTTGAACATGATAGGAATTAGCATCAAACAGGAGTCAAGCAAATCAATTAAGTGAATGAAATCTCTAAAGTCTTTCTCCACTGCTTTCATACTTTTCTCCCAGCTATTTCAGTGGCAGCAGCATCTGCCACCCTCACTAAGCTTCTAACTTGGCAACCCTGTCTCCTAAGCTTCTGCTTTCATAGCTTCTTTCATAGTGCTCCGTCTGCAAGCGTATCCATCATGGGGCCACCCTGGTGGTGGAAGGGGTTAAGTCTCAGCACTATCAAGCTGTCTAAAGCCACTGCAGCACAAGTTCAATCCCCAGCCAGAGAGCTGGCCCACATGGCACAGCAGACCTCTCCTGCCCTGCTCCCAAGTGCCCTCAGCAGTGTATTTCAGTCAATTGCCTGTTCTGTTCTCCACTCTGTCCCTGGTGAGTCCTCTTACGCCCTGCACCTCTGGCCTGTATTCCAGTTCTTATATACATAAGTCAATAAATCTTTTTTTTTTTTTTAAAGGAGTACCTCACACGGGTGACTTGGTGATGGGAAACCCACGGGGATTACAATTGAGATGGGAAAAAAAAAATGTACAAAATGATGTAAAAATAAACTGTTATAAAATAAAAATAAAATAAAATAAAATAAAAAAGGAGTACCCACTCCTCCACCCCACCCACACTGTTACCTCTTGTGAAGTCTTTGGTGGGTATCCAGAGAAAAGTAACACTCCCTTCTTCTGTACTCCCCTTAGCCTTTCATTCATCAAATCAGGAAATGCCTGAGCAGACCTGAAGAACCCAGTGAAGGAGTAAAAACCAACCACTCCCTCTCTCATGGAGTTTCATGCTAATAGGAAAAACACTTAAGTAAAAAAACAAATATAAACAAAGCTGTATTGTTTACAAATATAACAAGGTGGTTGTAGTATTTACCATAGCTCTAGAGCCAGTTTATATGTGTTGGATAGCATGAGTTCAGGGCTGTTTATGGCATCTGACTTATGCCTGTATAAACAGTGTACACCAACACCCGCTTACAGAAACACACATTGCCCACATTACACAATCCAAGCTCTGAAATGGCTCAAGCCAGGATTCTTATATTCAGTCCCAGTAGCCCAGGTTCTAACTGAGCGATATTCCTGTGCTTTCTTCCATCTGATATTCTTTTTCTCTGTTAACAGGACTTGGTGGCACAAAGTACATTTCCTTTGAGGAACGGCAGTGGCATAATGACTGCTTTAACTGCAAGAAATGCTCGCTCTCCCTGGTGGGACGCGGCTTCCTCACGGAGCGTGATGACATCCTGTGCCCCGACTGCGGGAAGGACATCTGAATTCAGCACCGTCTGGCCTCGCAATGCTCACTCGTTCATATATTTTCTTTTTCAACCAGGCAGTAGTATGGTTCCACCAGCCATTCTGAGACTTCCCCCTGTGCTTCTCAATGATAGCCACGTTTGTTTAAATCCTTTCACTTCTTTGTACAAACCATTTCTTTGTAATAGTTCCACCCTAACGAAGAAGAAACTTAGGTAAAACTTAGATAGGAAGGTGGTTTTGAATTTCTGTAATCAAGCAAGGCAAATCCAAGTGTGAAATCCTTTTGAATGATGTCTTTATAAATATATCTTTCTTTCACTGTGTATTTAATTTTTAAGTGCAATGAATGTCACAAACTTGAGTCTTCCTGACTACTTAAGGTAATGAACAAGTTACTACTGTGTAACTTTCTGCCATGTAAGGTCTAAAGCAAGATTGTGTGATTTACAATAGTTACCTAGAACAAAATCTTTTGCCAGGCACAGTGTGTAAAATAAATAATGGTTAAACATTGACATCCTAAGTCCAAACAACACTTTATTGCATGCCCCTGTCATACCTGTGTGAAGAGCAAGTTCTGGTGGGTCGAGCCAATTTCAGTGAAATTTCTTCACACCTTTCATTTAAAAGAAACCTTTCTGTCAGCACTGCAACCTCTTCCTTTATATCTTTTCTCTGCTCTCTCTCCCATATTCTCTTTCTCTTGCAATATAATATTTTGCTTTGATGCCAAAACCTAAGCTCCAGAAAGTGAGTAGAAGAATAGGAGCTAATTGAATGTGAAGGAGGTTTAGGGTCACTATTCATGGCCGAGCTCTGGGCTTCCCCACTGTCACAGATCCATGTCTTAGGCTGACCTGTCTTCTCTTCCATTATGGGAAAGATTGTAGAAGGTAACAGCACCTGAAGCACATACGACATATGTTCCTATGTCTCAATATCCGAGCAATGTAGAGCATACAGGAAACCTTCAGCACTTGTTTCTGAAAAGATAAGAAAACAGTCAACAAAAAGGGATGGAATCATTGCTATAAAATAGCACTCAGAGCCCCTAGCTTGACAACAGTCCGCAAAGCCATCTGGGAGTACCCAGCCTGCAACTGGAAAGCGCAGCACCAGTTCATGAGATCTGACGGTGCACAGTTCTCATTTTAGGACAATAACAAAAGTGACTCTTAATCTTTAGTTTTCTAAAACCATGCAATTTTCATTTTCAACCAGGATCAAATCACAGGTGGTACAACAGAAAAATCTGGTGGAAATCAAGTCCTACCTGTGCTGAGCAGATGTGAAGTCAGTTTCTTAATCTGAATCATAGTCAATGTGATAAAGTCTGACACAGGTCTTCGGGGTTTACAGTTGGTTTGTAGCCATGGTTTAAAAGGCCTAATTCCAGCCCTCCCTGGTGGCGCAGTGGGTTAAAGCACAGCACTGAGAGGCTGAGGCCACTTCCGCATGAGTTCGATTCCCACCTGCCCCGGAGGTGACCACATGGCATGTCAGACCTCCCCTGACCCAGCCGCTGCTCCCCTCAGCAGTGTACTTCGTAGATCTGCCTGTTCTACTCCCCACTCTGTCTCTGGTGAAGCCTCTCACCAGCCCTGAGCCTCTGGCCTGTACCCCAGTTCTGTATGAACAAATAAATAGATCTTAAAAAAAAAAAAAAAAAGGCCTACTTCCAAGGCCAGCAAGGGAGTGGGTGGAGAAGTCAGAGCAGGAGGGAAGAGCACAGGGAGGCATGGTGGTGGTGCAGTTGATACGGAGAACTACAGGGACGATACCTGAAGGGGTAAAACCAATGACCGCAAAAATGAACAATGATGTAAGAGACTATTTAGAGGGAAAAAAAACATGAAAAGCAAAAAAAAAAAAAATCTTCCCCATGTTTTGCCATGGTTCATAGTATAAAAGTAAAAGCATTCCTAACTTTTTCATGGAATACCTTACCCATTCTTTAAATGACAGACTCGTATTCCACACTAGAATTCAACCTCAAAGACTGGGGGATTTCCCCCCTCGAAAGTAACTCCTATTGGACTAATCCTCCCTTGCATAGCAATTGTTTTTGACATTCTCTATTACTATTTTAACTTTAAAGACACTGGACAATGATCAAAGGCAGGAAGACTGCAAGAAGAGACACTTGGCAAGAAGAGAATAGCATTGGATGGATTTCCCATTTTTATGGCTTTTATCCAGAGGCAAGTCCCTGTAGGGCAGCTAAATCTGTTAGAAAACCTGCAGTCTTACTGACTGGAAGAGCCAAAGGCCAGGGATTTGAACAAGCAGCCTTTCAAGTAAGAGGGAAAACACTAGAAAAAAGAATCCCAAGTTCTTTGTATGAAACCCCTGTTAAGTCTCGGATTGACAACTGAACTACAGCTACATATAAAAGATTCCATGCAACCCAGTCAAGGTTCAGAGAACTGCCTGAAATGGCAGAACTCAGTTGCTCATCTTCCCAGTGAAACAACCACTTAACTGGGTAAAATTAGAGAGATAGATTGAATAACAAAAAGTCTGAAAATTTCCCTAAAGGCAATCAGCAAATGGAGAGATATTTTTTCAGGAAAATCTGTGACCAAATATCAAGAGAGACAGTGAAAGTCTGTCGGGTTTGAGCCAAGGCCTGATTCTACTCTAACCCCAGCACTTTTACAGACTATTTCATAAGATGCAGCTTTCCCAGAAACCAACATGACATATCTTAGGAGGCCTCATGTCAGTAGGAGACTGACTCTGGCTCCTTTGGGGGGGAACAGAGGGAGCATTTGTAGGCACAGGACGGATGTTTGAAATCTTTGGTGCTGAGACTTTCGAGGGCCCTCAACTCGTTGGTCACTCCATGGGGGACCTTCGAGTATTCCCCACACAGAGTTAGAACTACTTCATCACAGTATCTACAGCCAAGTCACTGGTCTTCAGGAATTGAAATTTCGCTTGGTATATTAAAGTCAAGCCCCTTTTTTCCATCTCTGAAGTTTTTCTGTCCTGCTTAGTCCTGCCTACACTTAGAATCAACCTGATAGTGTGATCATAGCCAAAACACTTTACTTTTCTAGTAAACACCCTATTCATATGCACATGCTCCTTGGGAATGTCATAGTTTGAAATTGAAAAATGAAGCTCAAGATGCTGCTGGAACTTCAGATTCTCAAGGGGAAATGATGAGGACAGGTCACTGCTGCTGGTGCAGCAGAGAGGTGCAGGCACCATTGGCGTGAGCACCACAGTCTTTCAGAGTTTGGAATGATCAAACTCACTCTGGTGAGATCTTTCTCAACTTTTGCTACGACTCTCTCCTTGTTGACTATCATGCACTGATTTGGGGGATCAGGAAAGAGGACTAGAGACATCTTTGCCCTATTTTTGTAAATGATAAGGAGTAGAGGAAGGAAGAACGTGGGAGTGTGGCTTGCTAAATGAATAGCCTGCCTCTAAAAGTCGTAACCATAAGTGCACATATAACTCAGGCTGGCCCAAAAGGAAAAAAAATATTCTCTCACTCAAAAGATAAATGAATAAAAAATCATAACTGAGGGTGTTTCCTGAGGCTTTGAATGAGCATGTCTTCCTACAGAGCTGATTTCATTGTCTCTGCCACGCGTCTGTGTACCCCAAAGCAGAGCGCCTTCCAAGTCACTTCTTGCATTTCTTTCACCATCCTGGGAATGTAAATTGTAGATACAAATCTGTATGGCAATCAGCTGACTAGCTTCCTGCCTCCGCCCCATGGCATCCCTTCTTCCTTTCCCTTTCCTACACTTGCTTCCTATTTTCCTGTTCTTTCTTCTTTTTCTTTCCTTCATCCCTCAGCAGTACTTGTTTACTTCTAATTAACTTACACCATGTGGGTTTTCTGTCATGAGGGGCACAGGGTTTTGACTTCTTTGTTGAGGGAGGTCATCAAGAAGACATGACTCCAATTAACCCACAAAGTTGGACCCAGGCAATTGTTTAGGTCCTCATCAACCCACCCTAAAATGTGTGTAGTTTGCCTTCCCTGGTCCCTGATACTGCCCCAAGGATACAGCTCTGAGATTGTACTATTGTGTTGAGACCATCTGGTCTTTCCTGGTAGCCTAGGAGTTAAGTTTCATCATTATCAAGATGATCTGAGACTATCTAGATGGTGTATATGAGTAAATCTAGCCAAGGCCTCGTATTTAGATTTTATATAACTTTCAAGATTTGGTGGGTGGTATGGAAAACTACTTATTTTGCAACCACCCAAGACAAGACTCATAAGTTCTTTTATTAAAACTGTTACCAGCCCCCCCCCCCACCCAGTGGTGCAGGGATTAATTCTCAGTGCTAAAAAAGGAAAAATAAATGTCTTAGTGCCATCAAGCTATTGCCAGCCACAGCAGCATGACTTCTATCCCTGCTTAGGGTGCTGACCCACATGGCACAGCAGACCTCTCCTGTCCCACCCGCTGCTCCCCTCAGCAATATATTTCAGTAGATCTGCCTGTTCTGCTCCCCACACTGCCTCTGGTGAATTCTCTTACTCCACCACACCTCTGGCCTACGTGCCAGCTCTTACATACATAAATAAAAATAAATCTTTAAAAATTAATAGCAATAAAATAAAACTCTTTAAAAATAAAAAATCTGCCACCTACCAATCTGCAGTGATCTCTTCCTGTCCCCCATGATGGGAGCTGGCTGAGGAGCTCCCCAGGTTGCAACCCAACACTCCACATCAATCACCTGAACCCCAGCTCAGTTTCAATGAAGCATCAGACAAAATGGCCTGCTCCCCTGGGTTCTGTGCCTTCTGATTGTTGCCTTCATATTTAGTTCTTCAGTGCTTTTACAATTTTTTAGAAGCTATTTCTCCAGCAGACCTCTTTTTCATATGTAAGAAAGCAGAGCAAGTTTTTATCCCCTAATGTTCAACATGAGAAAACCTAACTATAAATATTGTGATTTCCTCTTGTGACAGCCTGCACTATTAAGACTTGCATTTGTTTTATCTATTTTGATGTTCTAAACTTTGTTTTGACTTCATAACTTCCTTATAGGAAAAAACAATATACTAAATGTATTACAATAAATTATATACATAAACTGTGTAGCAATGCTTAATGCTTAAAGTATAAAATTTTAAATAATCTACTTTCAACCCAAACCATGAAAACCCAGTCACTGAAGTAACTGAAAAAACTATTTCCCTTATGCAGAATCACCTCGCAAGGATCTCAAACACAGCAAGTGGCTCAGTAAATGCGTCTGTGCCCGTGAGAACCGGAACTAGATTGGTAAATTCTCTCTCCATGTTGTCCTCATGAAAGCTTAATCTCTGGAAAAACCTTTTAAGAATTTTGCCTTTTGGGCCCTCCCTGGTGGTGCAATGGGTTAAAAGCACAGCACTAAGAAGCTAAAGCCATGTCCACATGAGTTTGAACACCGATCACCACCTGGCCGGGAGGTGACACAGGGTGTGGCAGACCTCTCCTGATCCTCCCGCTGCTCCCCTCAGCAGTGGATTTCAGTAGATCTGCCTGTTCAGCTCCCCACTCTGTCTCTGGCGAATCCTCCTACCACCCCTGCACCTCTGGCCTTTACCCCAGTTCTGTATAAATAAATCAATCTTTAAAAAAAAAAAAGAATTTTGCCTTTTAAAATGCAAAAAGAACTCAGTGTGACTGGGAAGCAAATTTCATAGGCTGGCAGGGCAAATCCTTTTCATCAACAAAGATGAAGCCTAGGGTACATGGAGCACACATCATTGACTCCCCACAAATCGCCATAGTCCAATCTATAAGCAGGAGGCTACCACTAGCCAAAAATCATCCAAGTAAAGCCAAATTCCCTTGAGATAACAAAATAGATACACTAAAGCAGAATAAATGTGGTATTGTCATCTATCAATCTTATAATTGTATATGTAAATACAGCTCTCAATCACCTTTAGTGGTACACATTCAGACCTAAGGGCACCCCTCATTACCTGGTCATTAAATGAGAGATGAGAGGACTCAGGTAAGATAGTAAGTCTAAGGTAAAAATACAAAGAAAATTTGTGACTAAAAGATATGACTGAAACTCACCTACTGGCCAGAGGAGGAAATGGAAGCCCAGAAAGCCCAAGGTTTAACTCAAAACTAGAGGCCAACGCATTGGAACTCAGACTCCCAACTCCCAGTCCATTAGCATTTTTGAGGGAAATTTTCTGATGGCAATGTAAAGTCAGCTGCTGTACATTTTAATACTATTCACCTCTCTTTTCTTTTAATTAGCAAACTGACTGCCTTCATAAAGGACAAGTTGGAAGCATAATATGCTTTATTTCAGGGGGCTGGAGGCGGTGGGAGGCCAGAAAGGGCACTATTTCTAGCCTAATAGAAAAAAGCAAGAGACCTAGGTTTTACTCACCACTCTGCCCCAACTAACTGATTTCAGAGAAAATACCTCCTCTCTCTGGGTGCATTTCCTCTTCATAAAATCAGAGTGCTGGATTAGACTGTTTCAATCTGAATGACCTCCACCAGAAAAAAGCTAGAAAAATCCATAATTTCAATGATTTAAAGCATTTGAGGGCATTGTATCTAAAATAAAACAAATTTTCTTATACATATAGGGGGCAAATGCCATCTTAAACAGAGTTTTACTGAAACACAGAGAAGAAATCGCCCAGTGTACATGCCAAAATAAATGAACAAACTAAAAGGAAATAAGAACAAATAAAACTGCTACAAAAAAAAAAAAAAAAAAAGGGGTAGCTTTATCTCCAGAAAACTTTAGCAGGAAACAATTGGAAGGAAATGAACAAAAACAAACAAAACAAAACAATGGCAGCCATTACCTTGATCTGTAATTTGTATATTCCCCTTTTCTCCAGACTTGGTTGGAACCTTTCATGCCCTTCTCTATGGATCCCCATCAGAAGGTGCCTTAGCTTTGTGCAAGATTTCAGGCCTCAGCAGGCCACTTCAGGCCAACCCCATTTGGCTTAGTATTTACCCATCAGATGAATAACTTAGGTATTTTATTGGGAAACTTTACCCTTTCTTCTCTTCTATGCATGGTAATCCTATGAAAGTTCCTTCACACTAAGTTTTCTCTGCCTTGGGCCCAATCCCTTTCAAGCATGCAAATCGGAATCCCAGGGTATCCTGCAGTCTGTATGTGCTAACATAGTTGATAGTTTTTCCCATGGGTTAATAACTTGCAGCTGTTGTGATGTATATCAGAGTTGAAAATTAAGGACATAATAATTGGGGGCCAGGTTTCTCAGTGTGGGGGTAGGAGTTTACAGAGAAGCAAGGAAGTCTAGAATGCTCAATATTGTAATGGATTAAGAGGTGATGAATCCAAGTTCAGCTTACTATAAATATGTTTCCAGAAATATTTAGTTATGTATATATGCAGGGGTTAACACACAAATGTATGTCCTTGTGTCCTTGTTCTGTCAGTTGAGAAGAGCTGGAAGCAATTATACTCAAGTACTATGAGCATATCTAGAGCCCAGATCTTGGTTTCTATTTAGTAAAAGGAACCAAGTTTCCTTGGAAAAAGACTGAGTCTAGAATGAGGCCAGGATATATACAAATGACCCCAGAAGATCTTGCAGTACTGAAGTGCTCAAAAGAAATCACGTCTGTGAGACAAATCAAAGGGATACAGAAGCCAACGTTTTCAATGGTTGAAGCTAAAACAATGAAAAAGAAAACCACTCATGATCCTGAGTCAGCTATGTGGGCTGGTCTCCCCTAGGACATGTATGAAGTTACCACCACTGGACAGCCTGTCAGGGATGGCTCACTTCTGGTGGGCGGTGCTGGCTCTCATGTGGGATCTATTTTTTAGTAGCTTTTTCATGTGGCTGCCACAGGGGTCCAAGAATGAGAGTAGAAGCATTAAATCAAAGCACAAGACCAACCATATGTGAGTGGTGGGAAACAGACTTCACCTATGATGGGAATAATAAAGGTAAGTCACTACTTAACATCTACAAGCAGGATGCTTTCCCCAAAAGCTCTTCATGACTCTCCTTAAAACATGATCTCCTCATACACAAAAATCAACTCAAAGTAGATTAAAGATCTGGACATAAGAACAGAAACCATAAAATACCTGGAAGCAAAGATGGGCCAAACACTACACGACATACCCACTTCAGCAACATTTTTAAAGATATAGCACTGAGTGCAACGACAGTGAAAGCAAGGATAACAAGATGGGACTACATCAAGTTAAAGAGCTTCTGTACAGCAAAAGAGACATTACAAAAGACAAACATCCCACAGATTGGGAAAAAATTTTCACACAAAACTAGCGATAAAGGATTGATCACAAAGATATAAAGAACTGATGAAACAACAAAAATAAACAACACCATCAAAAAATGGGTAGAAGAATAAAAAGATACTTCTTCAAAGAGGAAATGCAGATGGCCAACAGCATGTGAAAAAATGTTCAACATCACTTGTAATAAGGGAGATGAAAATTAAAACCACGAGATACGTCACCTCAGTAAGAATGGCACATCTTAAAAAACTAGCAACAACAAATGTTGGCAAGGATGTGGAGAAAAAGGAACTCTCCTGCACTGCTGGTGGGAATGCAAACTAGTACAACCACTATGGAAAACTTTTTGGAGGTTCCTCAAACTGCTAAACATGGAGCTTCCATATGACCCAGCAATTCCACTCCTAGGTATCTACCCAAAAGACACGAAAACACTGGTTTAAAAAGACACCTGCACCCCCATGTTTACTGCTGCTTTATTTACAATTGGAAAGACAGGGAAACAGTCCAAATGCCCAAAAGTGGATGACTGGACTAAAAAGATGTGGTACATATGCACAATGGAATATTACTCAGCAACAACAACAACAAATAAGCACATGCCTTTTGCAGCAACATGGATGGAGCTGGAAAAGATCCTGCTTAGTGAAAGAAAGGAAAAATACTGGATGGTTTCACTCATAGCAGGAGTATAACGGACCAGGCAAGAAAATAATAATAATGAACAGCTATATACCAGAGACAGTTTATGGGGGTGGAGTGGGGAATGGGATCAAAAACAGCAGCGGGAGGGAAGTGCACTGGACTATGGTGATGGCACACGGGTGATTTGGTGATGGGAAGCCTAAAGGGATTACAACTGAGTTGGAAAAATGCACAAAATGATGTAAAAATAAACTATTACAAAAAAAGAATCTCAAAAAGGTTTTCCCTGATATATTTAATGCAGCACCAAACCCTACCTCTTCCATCCTTCACTATCTCATGTCATTGCTTGTCCTGTCATGATTTCCCATTATTTCCGTTTATGTCTGCATTTTCTATAGAAACAGGAATTTGATTCACATCTTTATTTTTGTCACAATAGGGCACCAAGTTTAATAGCAACTAACAGAGAAGAGCACTTTAGTTATTAAAAGCACTTAGTGAGATAATCCAAAAGGAAATAAGAATGTTATTCTTTTCTGCAGACAAAAACTGAAGGACCTACTACTTAAGTTCAAGGTAGAAAGTTACATGTTTTTCTCATTTGTTAATTTAGTGCTACAACTAATTAGTCTCCAACATTAAGATACTAGTTTAGAAATGAACAATTTTTGAGATTACCCTAAATGCAAATAATCCTTTCAATCAAACCTCTGGATTGTCTGAGATTGCTAAGAAAACTTACATGGGATAGATTTGGGGACTTTGTTGCCATCCTCTAGTGTTGTAAGTTAACACATTAGTCTCTGTGGGATCAGGACATCCCACATATACCAAGACACTGGCCCCCTCCTCTTCATAGCTGGGGCCCCCAAATGTGGTTGGTCTGTTGAGATCATGCCTGATACCAGTCAATCCAGGTACACGGAAAATTGTAGCATGAACATTAACACTTTCGAATAGTTTATTCAAATAAAAAGAGCAAGCCACTCGTTATTTTTCCATTTTATTTTTTTATAAATGACAGACCAACTCAATACTTTTATTCAATTTACTTAAATAAGGATAAGGCTACTTAAAAGACTTACATACAAAAAAATGTACATTAGAAGGTTAAACTTTTCTGTCCTGTATTACAAAACCTGCACAAGCATTTAATAAAAGAGCACACTTAGAAACATTTTGACTATTTTGTAGCCTCTAAAAATTACTGAAGTTCCACAGTAGTAAGTAGAGGTAACAGTTATATACATGTCATTTAATCTACTGGCAGTTTTACTTAATGTAAGTTTTTAAAAAGTCATTGCTACTGAATGAGTCTAAAGATCATTTTAGAATTGTTTCTCAAAACTTAAGTCAACCAAAATATTATTTTAAATAATAATTAGAATTCTGAAGAATTTTAATAGTAGCAAAAATATTACGGCCTCATTGTAGTTGAACCAACTTTTCAAAGTGCCTGAAAGTTGTCTACATAAATACAGCTATTTTGATAAACTGTACTGCCTTTACAACCACGGGGAATCAACATGGTACCATGGTACTGTGGGGTCTCACAACTTTCCAGAATTCACATAGTAATCTTTGATCTTCAAATGTGAGGATCAGGGGTTAGCCTATCTTCACCCCTCAGTGAATGAGTAGGGTCAAGCAATGTAACTCACAAACCTAAGCCTGAAGCTTAGGATCTACAGAAAGGAAGAAGGAAAATGGAAGCAAATAAAGTGAAAATATGAAAAAAGAGGGTAAACAGAAAACAAGGTACACTACCTATGGCAGGAAGTGGTAAAGCACCCACTAACCATACCTCAAAGCCACTCACTGACTCAAATGCCATTCATGTGCCTATCCAGTAAGAAAAGCTGCTCATTTGAAAACAAAATCAAGAGTCACAAAGTTCACTCATGTTAATGAGTGAAGAGTATTCCAAAGTTTTCTGTTGTTCAAATCAAGACCTAACCTTTAAAGCACATCAAAGCAATACTTCAAAACATAAGATCCCTTCTGCTTCAGATTCCCATCATTCAGCAAGCTCATGTAAAGAAAATGTTTCAAGACGAGCTGCATCTATATACCTTGAGAAGGCACAGCCTTTTAAGTTGTTAGTATTATGTACTACGTAGTACATGCTTTAGTGCTTCTCCACATTTCTAACTCAAAATAGCTCAGTAAGATGCTGCTATATGAGCACTGATCTTAAATGTTTATAATTTAAACTTCAATTTGAAGCAACAATGTTACACAGTTCAGCTGTTAGCAACCTACTCTGTAAGTTAAATATACAAATTAAAAATTAATTTTATTGAATAACTAAAAATAAGTTTCCACTGACTTAAAACTGTCAAATGGCTAGCTCTCTCTTAACTAAGAGAGAAATACAGATGGAAGAAGAGGGGCAACTGAATATAAAATAGAATTTGTCATTCTACCCTAAAATCTGCACTTTAAAAATATCCCTTAACAAATAGTTATGTATAGAATCAGTTATCCTTCAACAATATTACATGAATCAGCCCTGCCGATAACTATATATTTATCAATTTAGCATAACATTAACAATTTATGCAACACTAGGTATGCATCAGTTGTGTCTTATATGTATAGATTTATAGTTTGGGAAAAGGTAGAATGACTGAAAACTGTAGGGCTCAAGTTTTAGTACAGTACTTATCTGCAGGGCTGAATTAATTTTTTGCAAGGCTAGTCAATAGCTGAACTAAAATGTCTGCTTTAACAAATCAAGAGAGGAATGAGACTCCTCTAAAAACTTGAAAAGGCAAATCTGAATTTGAGTATCACACAAGGGAGAGAGTATAAAGTATTCTTTGTACTTGGTTAGAAATACTTAACAGAAAAGAGCACACTAGGATTCATGAATACAAGGTTTACCTTATTTTCCCACTAACTTCCACTATACCATTGAAATGATAACACAAAATTTTATTAGATACTTGTGTGTGACAGCCCTGTAGCCAGTCCATGTCACACCAGCAGGGAGCCGCTTCCAGCTCGTCTGCTTGTTCTGCGTTCTATGCTCTGCAGTCTTTTCTGACATCAGTCTCTTCTCTTCTGCCTATTCCAGGTGGCAGTTGCCCCATTCAGGGCTATACTATACTTCCTGGATTCTGTCTGCCTTCTTCCTATCCTCTAAACTTTCTGCCATCCAGTATCAACTCTGACATGATTATCTTACCTGAAGAGTTTAAATTCAGCTTCATTTTGAATATATTAAACTTCTAGGAAGAAGTAACACATGAGCTCATAGAGATCAGACAGCTCTGGAAAAGGCAGGTAAGACGCTGGCATGACAACATCCTACAGGATGGGCTAGGTACTGGCTTAACCTACACTCATAATGTATCGTGTCTGCAACGACTCCAGGGAAGGAGTGACAGCAAGCACTGACCCCCTTTTGGTTTTTATGGGAAGAAGCTACATAAGCAGTTGAGAGAACAGCAATTTTATCTGTATATTCTGAGTAGTTTTCTGCCAGCGCTTCAAACATGCTTTTCTTGGTGAACCTCGAAGATGAGTTTGCTAATACTAAAGTATTGTAATGAACTGTTATATTCTTTTGGTTTGGAAAATAAAAACTAACTACTAGAATATCTGAGTTAAAAAGAAAATCTCATATTTCCCCAAAAACAGACTAATGCGAATAATTTCGAAAATGCACCAGGTGTTTTATAGCAGACTTGCAGCTGATGATTTGTTTAGAGCCAAGATAAATGACTTATACCCAGTCATTTGTTTGAAAAGAAATTCTTTCCTAGTCAGGGTGAGCAAGGCAAGTTTTTTTCTAAAAAGAGAGGGAAAGAGAGAGGAAGGATGGGGAAGGAGAAAAAAAAAACTTTAGTTTTTTTAAACCTAATTTTAAACCTCTTGTGAAAATTCCATAATAACTAGGATCTGTAAATACTGTCAATATATGTGAATTTGTCTGAAAAACTACAATTACGGTTATATTTACATTTTGGGAAACTCTCCTTCACGGCCATGTAACATGTTGTATCTTCCTCTTTGCTTCTGGGGGTTTCAGGTTATTCTGGAAAGACACAAAGATATATCAGTTTATACTTGCAGGAACATTAGAAATAACAGAAAAGAAGTGTTAAAACCACCCAGGTTTACTACTAATATGTGAATAGCTGATTACTCCTGCCACCTGGTAGAAAAAGATTTTTCGGGCTAGGGGAAAAAGCAAACTCCCTTGACTCCAATTTTTCTAGCTGTCGTTCTCAAATGTTTACACTTTCGAACCACCCAAGCAATTTAAACACACGTCCAAGCCGAGATAAGATCTTATCCCAGAACCAATGAAATCATAACTGATGGGAGGTGACAGGAATGAAACTCTGTTTTTTGTTTGGGTTTTTCAGAAGTTCTTCCAGGTGATTCTAAGGTTCATTCAGAATTGAAAACTGGCTGTTTCAGACCTGCTTCCTCCTTCCTTGCCCACTCTACTTAACTTCACAATCCAAGATCTTAGTAAGATTAAAAACAAATCACACCTGTGAAAGAATAAGAGGCCCCGGATAAGAAAAATGTTTAAGATAATGGGGGGACACTAAGGCTTACCTCTTTATTGCAGTATTTGAGATGTGCAGTATGCTTCCCATGTTTGGCCAACAGGCCCTCCTCTCTCCCACAGACTGACATAAGTATGAAGGCAGTGAGGTAGTGTAGGAAGTGTGTATTTTGGAGGCTAATAGATTTGAATATAAACCAAATCCTGGACATTTTTTACTCTGGAACCCTAAACAAAGTTTAAATCTCTAGTTTCTACTTCCTTCCCTGTAAAATGTAAACACTACTGTAGCAACTTTGTAGAGCTGCTGAAAGGATTCAATGGATTAATACAAGAACCTTGAGCTGGTCTGACAGTAGTTTTATATTTCCAGGGTCTACTACTTACACTGTTTGTTCGCTTGTATTTCCTTTAACACACAATTTGAAAATGACAGTCAGAGGGGCAAGAAAGTCTTGCCCCTCCATCATATGTAAGAAAAGAATCAATTGTGAACCAGGAAATGGATTCTCTCCAGACACTGAATCTGCTAGTGTCTTGATTTTGAATTTCCCAGCCTCCAAAAATATAATAAATGTATATGTTTCTTGAATAAAAGATACAAATGAGAAAACCCAGGAAAAGTACCTGAGACACTCGTTCAAGTTTTAAGCAGAAACAAACTGGGTGCACTTTAAAAAACATTAACTTATTTATCATCATGAATTTTAAAATTTCAAGGTTTAAAATTTCATGATATTAAATGTAAAAATAAGATAGACCTTTACACATTTCCAGAACAGCAGGTTAACACAAATAACCCACTTCAGCTAAAGCTGACCACTCAGAAGTCACTCATATCTCTCCTGAGCAGGAAAACACCCAGACTCACCACAGCCTCTGCTTCTTCTTTAGGAGCAGCGCGCTTTAACTTCACTGGAGTAGTTCCAACAGGGGACAAAGGTGGTGACTTCACAGGGCCCGAAGGACTTTTCCTATGCGTTAAGTCATGGTTCTGTTTAGTATCATTATTACTGTGTTCCATTTTATTGTTGGTAGGCAAGTTGGAAGACAGAATTAAGGGTGAAACACTTGAAGAGGAATTTGATAATTTTCTAAAGGCATTACTGGTAAAGCTTGCCTGAGCGGGAGGCTTGAGTCGATCATCATCACCATTCTCTGTCCTTTTCACTTTTATGCTTGTACTTGTTGAACTTCCATCAAATACAATGAGGGGTCTTTTCCTTAACCCATCCGCAGTGCTATTCCTGAAATCAAAGAGATGTAGTCATGAAAAATAACACCAGGAATGGCCAAACAACTCAAGCAGAACTCCAAACTAACCAATGATCCACCCCACCCCCCCCAAAAAAAACAATGTATTGACAAGGTTGTATTCTAAGTAGAACTACTGGAAATGAAATTTTCTATGTTCACTCTAAGTCACCAACTTATAGATAGGGTTATTTTAACCATGTATCAATTACTATTTAAAAGGGAGAGTACAGCTGTTTGAAAATTTTTAGATGTGGTCTGAATAGGCAGACCAAAGTAATGTCTTACTAAGCATCAACTTAAATAAACTCAAGATATCTATGGCAAAATCTGAAGAAGTACATAGCCTGTACTTGGTATGTAACAATCAAACTAAAGTGATGCTCAAACTAAACTGAAGGTGTTCCTAATAAAAGACTGTACACGTTGTATTCTTCAATCAGTCTCAGACTCTCATCATCTCCCCATTAAGTTTTCTCTTCATAACTACAAATTACTAAATGATATAGACCTACATGTTCTCTCCTTCCCCCAAGATCTCACTCATCTTCTCTTACTGTACATAGTACATTATCTGTAAGTATTATACAAAAAATCTTTTTAAAAAAATTGATCAATTTAATAAAATAGACACAGAATAACTCACTCACTTACTTAGAGCTCTTAAGACACACTGTCTTCATTAACTAACCAGCTACACTGACAAACCAAATGCAACTTTCTTTAAAAAATAAAATTCATTTGCTTGTGGTTTGATGAAAATTTTTATGAAATTTCAACATGTTTAAATAGTGTTCCTGAAGCTATATTACAGTCTCTTCTGTATCATTCAAGGTCCTTAAAATCTTACATAAGCCTACTTTTTTCTCACAGTTCAGCAAATTCTGTTTGATCTACATGAGTGTATAAAAATATCTACAAAAATACATCTAGATGCCAACCGCTTCTTACCAAGTTCACTACCTCAGTCAAAGCTGGATTACAGCACAGCCATCAATCTGGTTTCCCTGTTTCCACCTTCTCCCAGCCCCCATTGTAAATCATTTCCCAATAAAACAGGCAGAGTGTACATCAGAGGTCGTTGCCACTCTACTCAATATCCAAAGGTTTTAATCTCAGAACAAAGCCAGTTCTTAACAAAGGCTTACAAAGCTCTATAAGAGCTAATAACCTCCTCCTACTCACCTCCAACAAACCTCTTCCACCTGATTCTCTCTACTCCAGCCATAATGGCCTCTGTTGTTCTTGGTTTGTGATGAGCCTATTCCAGGTTCTTGCCTCCTGCATGGAATGCTAACTTGCTCTATACTTCATAAATTCCTTCTCCTGAAGTGTTATTTTCCAGTGATGTTTTTCCTGGCCCTTATACCTAAATTGTAATTCCTCTTCCTGCTTTACTTTTCTCTTTAGCCTTTCTCATTATGCAAATACCACAAATTCTACTTACCTTTTTAATTATGTTCTCACAATTAAAATAAAAACAAGAAATTATGTCAATTTTATTCACCGCTATAAGCACAGTGCTGGTGTTCAATAAGTGCTTACATGATTTTTTTTTTAATCTACATTAACTTGAGGTAATAAAGTAAAAGCAAAAGTGTTTAGTCATGTTGGGTGAAAACAAACATTAAGAAGTACCTTTTAGTTTCATTTTTTATCTCATGTTGTTCTCTTTTCTTTTCCATCATTTTCCCCCATCTATTCTTTGGCAAATCTCTCTGAGGCAATGGTATGGCATGCTGGACATAAAGGTCAGTAAGATTGTCTTTGTTTATTCTTTTGTCATTTTCAACAGCTATGTTCTTCTGTGGGAAAGGAAACAAAAATCAACTTCAAAACGTCTTTCATTTTAATAACCCATTATCTACCTAAAAAGGCAAGACATTACCTCTTAAATAACAAAATAAAAAACAACTAGATATACGTTCTTGCTGTAAGATACTGCAAGAAGCATCATTACAAACAGGTTAATTTCTGCTACTATTAAGTGTAGCCTCTTCTTAAAGATGATGATCATCTGTCCTCATTGTGCCAACGACTGCTGTCCACAACTGCTCAGCCAACACAACAGCCTGAAGCCATTTCCAGTAACAAATATCATTCTAAACTATGAAAGGAAAGGGAAACTTCCCCAAGCCAGACAAAAGAAAGCTAACAATTGTGGGCCCTCTCTGGTGGCAAAAGAGGTTAAAGTGCAGCACTATGAAGCTATACCAGCCATCGCAGCAAGAGTTGGATCCCAGGCCCCCGAGGTGACCAACATGGCGAGGCAGACCTCTCCTGACCCACCGCTGCTCCCCTCAGCAGTGTACTTCATCAGTCTGCCTGCTCTGCTCCCCATCTGTCTCTGGTGAAGCCTCTCACCACCCCTGTACCTCTGGCATGCACCCAGTTCTGTATGAGTAAATAATAAATCTTTTAAAAAATTTTTTTAAACGCACAAGTTTTATATACTTTTTGTCATACTGTTCATTTTCATTATTAGTTTTCAACCTGTACTCACTCACAGGTATGGGTAAACACTGGGTTTCTCTTCCTCAACCTTCCCAAAGAATTCATGGGTGGGTTATTTCTGGAAGCACTGCTCCAAGGCAGTGGCTCTCAAAGTGTGAACCCTGGACCAGCATCAACAGCTTATTAAAAATTAAATTTCTGGTCACACTTCATACCTATTGAATCTGAAACTCTGGGGATGAAATCCAGTTATCTGTATTTTCACAAGCTTTGGGGTGACTCTGTACCTAAAAAGTTTGAGAACCACAGGTGATGGATAACTGAAGTCACTAAAATGATGTATTTTCGTAGGGGGGCTTGAAAACAATTTAAGAATACAGAAGAGAACACAACAAAACATGCTACATGAACCCCCAAGAAGTAAATAAATCACTTTTTCCTTCTTTGGCCTTCTTGTTTTCCACCCACTGTCTGAGGTTACGTCAGCTGAAAGCAAGCACCCTTTACAGAGGGTCGCAGGAACTCACTTTTTTCCCTGGCTGCACCGCCCACCGATGGTGTAACCTAAAATAAGTCACTTCCAGTCTCTGGGGCTCGGCTTCGTTATCTTTAAATGAGGTTATGGAGAAGGGGCTATTTCTCAGATTCTTCCCAGCCAAGACAGCCCCTGATTATTACCCTTCGCTTATATTCTCTAAGCTTTTTCGCCAGGCCCTCACTTCCTCGGGTACTTGCTGACCACAACCGCGGGGACAACCTAGGTCGCCTCTTTCCAAGCCATCAGCCACCCAAAACAGATCGGTTCTAATTGCTAGGCATTTCTGACACTAAGGACGTCTCTTTTTCCGGAGAGAGGCCAAGGCGTGGGGACACAGGAAGATCTTGAGGGGTGGAGAGTGGAACAAACCGCAAGGAGGGGCGATGACCGGGGGAGTGTCCGTCGCCCCTGAGGATTAGTTGGGCGAGCTCAGGTCCGAGCACTTCTCCCAAACAGGCCCACCCGCCCGGTGCGTCCGACCTGCTCCAGGGTGAGGAGAAGGAACTCTTGGGACAGCAGCTCCGGGTGCAGCAGCAGCTCCGAGTCAGTGCAGCTGCGACCGCCCACATCCCCCGCCATCGTCGTCGCCAGGAGACCCTAGGTCGGCTACCCACAAGGCTCCGCGAAGGAAGTGTCCCGGAAGTGACGTAAGCGGACGGGGCTCGTGTCGTCGCTCTGGACGCGCCGCGCGTCTTACCTTGTCTCTCGCGGGGAGTCCGGGCTGAAGCTCTTGGGAGCAAACTCCCTGGGACTAAAAGAAGGAGCGAGATGTCGACTGAAGAAAGGACTGGCTTTGCAAGTGTTGCAGAGGAGAGGGGAAAGCGGAGTTCACGGAGCCGGCCGCGATGGTCGCGCTTTCTGTGACGTGCGGTGGCAGAGGCCAAAGGGATTCCCAGGGCAGCCTCGCGGGAGAGAGGCTGAGATGGCTAAACATGGCACTTGTCACGTCTGAAATTATCTTTTTTTTTTTTTTTTAACCTGTTCGTTTGACCTCTTTCTATTATGTAAGGCCAGGGACTTTCATTCTCTTAACCCCGGCATTGCTCACGTAGTAGGCACTCAGTGTTTGTTCCCTGATAATACTAACTGGCCTGCTCACTTATGAAAATAGTAATCAGCAGAGAAACGACGGTGACATCAGCCAAACGTTTATTAGACATTTAACTGTGTGCCAGGTACTGCATTTTACTTGGACTACCTCATTTCTTTGAAGTTGTTTTTAGGCATAAATAAATACACACACACCTATATATTATTCTCTCTATATAGAATTACATATATATTATAATATAGAATAATTATAGAATATATTTTATGTATATTCTCTCTCTTTCTCTCTCTCTCTCTGTATATAAGTTACTTGTCGGGTAAGGAAACAGACAGGGTAATTTGATCAATGTCAGAGGAGGAAGTAGCAAGACACAGTCAAAGTAGATTTCCCCTGCACTTAGAAAATATGATTGATTAAGCAGCAGGATGGTTTAAGCAAATTATTGTTTAAATATTGATCTAATCCCTCCTAATTCATTTACTAAGAAACCTTTTCTACTTTCATCTTTATGAAAGAGATACATCCCAAAGTATTTTACATATCTGAAATTTGCAGACATGTTCCAAATACTTAGAGTTTGCATTCTATCTGATGTATCATTTCACTGGAAATCATTGCATTATCTACAAAAAACATACAACTAAAATTGTACAGAAGAGAGATGTATTGGAAAATAAGTGAGATGCTAAATCAAAAAGACAAGATAAAACTGAAAAGTGCTTTGCAATTTTTCTTAATTGATGTATCTGATAATTTAGAAATTGAATTTCAGAGCTGGGTAGAAACTTAAGATACTCAATTCAGTTCTTTCATTTTAGTGCTGAGAAAATTGACTTGAAAGATTAAATGACTTATCCTAGGCTGAAGCCTGAATTACCTTCCAAGACTGGACCATTCCAAAATCCATGGACATCCAAATTGCATGTCCTAATTTGGAATTAAGTGTATGAGCTCTGTTGTGCTAGCATCATGGTATTCCATATTCAAAATCTGAATTGATTTTTATAATAATAATGAAGTGTGACTGGTCTTAATTATCCCATTTTTTGTTAACTGTCATCAAGGAGATGTTGATGTAGGTGGGAAAAAAATTGAGTTTCTTAAGATAAAATGTTATTACAGGTCTTTGTTGTATTCTTTCTCCTGGTGATTTCTTAGACTAATACTCTAATCTGAAGCCTCACATTCTTCATCAGTGAAAATGTTTTGTGGCAGGTAAGGTCTATATTTTTTTCTCCCTGTTCAAAGGTACCTAAAATTAATTCCATTTGTATTATGACCAATGGGGTCCCCTACCTGACTTGCATATCAGGTAATGACATCATGGACTTGAGATAAGAAATCAACTTTATATACCTCCTGTATTAAGAAAATAAATGAGGTTTTGAGGACCAGTGTTGAGATAAAGTTGTTGAATTTTATTGATTAAAAAGTAGGCTGGGGCAAAGAAATGTGGACTATAAAATGTATTAAGTCATGGGACTTTTTCATACATGAAGAAAAAAGACATATTCAGATATCTGGCATCTTGAAATTCTGTTGATGTGTCTCTCCTTTTTGGGTTGGGGCTGGGGATGTGGGGTGTAGCCCTTCTGCCGTCTCAGTTCCCAGCTAGCCTTGGAGCTCAGCTCAAGATTGTCTATTGTCAATAAAGCTTCAACCTTTGCTTTTTAAAGCAAGTGTCAGAAAAAAGTTCTTTCTTCCTTTCAGATATGAGACCAGCTTAACCACTTTGCCTCAGTTTCATTAAAACAATTCTAGGCAACTCTGAAGCAAAAATGCAGAATTGAGGGTGTCTTTTGAGACACACACACAAAAAATCAAGAGTTAGAGAGGAGGACTTAGAATGAGATTCTAACACTTTCCTTCTGCCTTAAAAGAAGAGACTATTTGTAATGCCTGTCCCCACTCCGTCCAGGGCAGAGCCTTGGAGGTTTCAGTGGGCCTGCTGTCTTTAATAATTGAAGTTTCTGATGTAGGAGGTTGGGGGGGTGGGTAAGGAGGAGATAATTTGTACTTCTAACAAGTCCTGACGTCATGTTTCAAATATGTCCAGGAGGAAGGGCCACCTCACAGTGTTTTCTGCCATATCACTGAGAAGGGAAACCATGTACTGTCCCAAACCCCCAAACCTGGCACTCAACATGATTGGATGGTCAGGCCTGGGAGCCCTGAAACCAAAATATTGAAAATAATACACCATAGTGGAAAAAGAACATCTCAAAAGCCTTGTAGGGAGCTGATGTCTTGCTTTCCTCCCCTTGGTACTTTAGAAATTCCTTTAGGGGAGAATGGGGATGGCCTTCTGTTCATAAGATTATTGTCACTGCAGCTGAATGGGGCCTGAAAATAGAAATAATGCTCGGTCACAGAAAACAATCCTACTCATTATATATTTGAGCTTGTAGGTGGCAAGTTTATTCCTACTTCAGTACTATCTCTGAGGATTATATAGTCGCCGTAATTTTTTACGTTTATAAGTAGTAAATACTATTTTTAGGTTTACTACTTTCCCCTTCATTCAAAGTTCACAGGGTTTTAGTCATCAACATCTTTATTTGGTATCTATCAATGAGAAGAAGAAATGGGAGGGAAAGCAACAAACACTGCCCAGCCTGGCTTGTCTCCCCACTAAATTCTAAATCTCTCTTGGACATCCACACATTGTTTTTGAATCTTCATGCAATGCAGGCACAGAGGAGGTACTTGATACATGTTTTAGGAATGAATATATTGAGACATCTGGGTTTTTGATTTGTTGGTAGTGTAATCTTTAAGATATTTATGTTTCAATAATTTTATCATTAGCTGTCAAAACTGTATCTAAGATTAGTTAAAATTAAGTAGTTTCAAAGTGAAGGTAACAGTTGAGAAAATACTTTTTGGGGACTTGTGTTTTTAGCTGTTTTGAAATGCACAATTCTGCTTTGCATTTCATTTCTCAATCCTTTCACAATCAATCAGATCATAATAAAGATGCATTTACATATTTAAACTATTGACTTCTGGTAAAAGTCCTTTCATAGGTCACCTCTTTCTTGAGCAACTTGAAATTGTTTCATCTTCGAATTCTCTGTACCTATTATGGTGCCTGGCAAATAGTATAAGAACAGTAAGCATGTACTGAATGAGTAAGAATAAACTGCTCTGTTAATCTCAAATACTTAACTGAGCTTTACTCTGGGGTTTATTTTTTGCCTTAGATCCTAGCCAGGTGGGAGATCCTTAGATTCTCCCACATATCCCCCTCTAGATCAGTGGTTCTCAGAACTGAGTGGGCACTAAAGTCACATAAAGAGTTTGTAAAAAATAGTTGACTAGGTCCCACCCCCATTGGGTCAGAGCCTAAGAACTGTCTTTCGGTGAGGTATGCATGTGGGCAAGGGGTACAAGCAAGATTGAAAAGATTAATTTTTAGTGGCTCTTTAACTTGTTTGGCATTGTTTTTCTTCCTTTGAAACAGACCAGGATAGAATCTGGTATCTGCCTCCTAGCTGGGGATCACAACTATGTTTTATAATCTGCAGGGGCTGGAAGAAAGCTGAGGCCAAGTCACTGGTGAGTTTTAAAGAGAGGGAAAAATCATTGACAATTATATATATATATATATATATGTATATGTGTGTGTGTGTGTGTATATATACATGATATATATGATTTTATATATATATATATGATATATGATAGTAAATGAGTGTGCACAACTCTGGAGCAACAGATTATCATGAAATTGGATTTTGGTTACCTAGGATTCCTCAGTGTGGCTTCACCCAAAGGAGTAACTAATGATGATTTATCATTTCCCCTCAGGAACTCCTTTTAGGCCCTGGGGCTCTCGGCTAGGTAAGGACCTAGTAGGTGGGCCATTTCTAGCCTACAATCCTTTTCAGCTCTGGTTAGAGAATGCCATCATCACATCAGCTGGCATCCTGGGTCTAGCTTTCCCAGAATTAATAGACCACTGATTGATTCATTCATTTTTTCACTCACTCACCAGGTTAAGTTCCCAAGTGCCTGCACTATGCTCAACCCAATTTTGGCATTTGAAACACGGGTGAGCAAATTGGGCAAGGTCTATGTTTACTGTGGCGGAGGGAAAAAATACATCATTATCACCACCACCATCACCACCAGACAATCCACTAACATTTGCTGAGCACCGACCCCCGAACCTGCAGTGTTCAAAGAGCTTGAAATGAATTAACTCCTTTTACCCTATGGGCCGCTCCAGGGGGCTGGCGCTGTTGACATCCCAGTAAACTGGAGGGAACTGAGGTTCAAAGGCGGGTCGCACCCTGGCCCGGTGGGTTTCCAGACCGAACGCAGGGAAAACCGGGGTGCAGGGCACCCGCCGGCAGGGACCCAGAGGCGCGGACATAGCCGCGCTCCCGCCCTCCACGGGTGCCGGGCGGCCGTCCCACGTGACGGGAAGCGGCGGCGGCGGGGTCGGACCAGCCCCGGAGC